GCCACCTCCACCGCCGCGGCCCACACACACACTGTATGAAGAATCGGCTCCCTGGCAGCACACTTCAGCTTTTCCTTTTCAATTATCCAAAACCTGGCAGTGTGACAAACCGTTCCTGCGGGGTCAGCGCGCGGCGGAGGGCGAGAAGGGCCGCCAGAAACGTTTCGGATGGATTTCTCCTCCGCCGACACCTGGAAAACTATCATGAAAGAAATCGTGCTGCCAGTCTTTTCTATACTTTTTATTTTTCTTTTACAACTTTTTGCCTCGAATTTATACCTTGCATCTAATACGGGCCCCTGACTGCTTTAAGGAATGTTCCACTTTTAATATCGCCCCCCACCCCCACCTTTCTCGGTTCCATTGCTGGAAAACCTGTCTATTGTATATTCAATAAAAGGAGGTCAGGTTCCCAGCTGCAATCGGGAGCTTTAGAGATCTGCCAGAACCTGAACTAAAAGGGCAAAAGATAAAAGCAGAATGGTGAAAAGTGATATAATGTATTCCTCATGGGGGGGGGGGGGGGGCGAAATATCTTTTAGAAGACCTTCCATCAATTACATTGTTTCATGTAAGGCTAAAGTTTGTATTTATGTATTTCATTGATTTCATTTGTAACTTATTTATATTTATTATATATTTATAAATTATTTCTTTTTCGTTTATTTTTCATATTTTTTTTTTTTTTTTTTAATCTGACTGTCCTCCAGACTCTTCTTTCCCCACCCTGACCATCCTCCGTACTCATCTCTCCCCACCCTGACCGTCCTCTGGAGTCTTCTCTCCCCACCTGGACCGCCCTCCGGACTCTTCCCACCCCACCCTGACCATCCTCCGGACTCTTCCCACCCCACCCTGACCGTCCTCCGGACTCTTCCCCTCCCCACCCTGACCGTCCTACGGACTCTTCCCACCCCACCCTGACCGTCCTACGGACTCTTCTCTCCCCACACTGACCGTCCTCCGGACTCTTCTCTCCCCACCGGACCGTCCTCCGGACTCTTCTCTCACCCCACCCTGACCGTCCTCCGGACCCTTCCCTCCCCACCCTGACCGTCCTCCGGACCCTTCCCTCCCCACCCGGACCGTGACCTCCCGAGACCCTTCCCTCCCCACCCGGACCGTCCTCCGGACCGCCCCTTCTCTCCCCCTCCAGACCCTTCCCTCCCCACCCGGACCGTCCTCCGGACCCTTCTCTCCCCCTCCGGACCCTTCCCCTCCCACCCGGACCGTCCCCACCCGGACCCTTCCCTCCCCACCCGGACCGTCCTCCGGACCCTTCCCTCCCCACCCGGACCGTCCTCCGGACCCTTCTCTCCCCATCCAGACCCTTCTCTCCTCATCTGGACCCTTCTCTCTCCACCTGGACCGTCCTCCGGACCCTTCCCTCCCCATCCGGACCGTCCTCCGGCCCCCTCTCTCCCCTCCGGACCCTTCCCTCCCCACCTGGACCGTCCTCCGGACCCTTCTCTCCCCACCCTGACCATCCTCCGGACCCTTCTCTCCCCACCCTGACCGTCCTCCGAACCCTTTTCTCCCCCTCCCGGACCCTTCCCTACCCACCCGGACCGTCCTCCGGAGCCTTCCCTTCCCACCCGGACCGTCCTCCGGACCCTTCTCTCCCCATCCGGACCCTTCTCTCCCCACCTGGGCCCATCCTCCGGACCCTTCCCTCCCCACCCGGACCGCCCTCCGGACCCTTCCCTCCCCACCCGGACCGCCCTCCGGACCCTTCCCTCCCCACCCGGACCGCCCTCCGGACCCTTCCCTCCCCACCCGGACCGCCCTCCGGACCCTTCCCTCCCCACCACGGACCGCCCTCCGGACCCTTCCCTCCCCACCCGGACCGCCCTCCGGACCCTTCCCTCCCCACCCTGACCGCCCTCCGGACCCTTCCCTCCCCACCCTGACCGTCCCCCGGACCCCTTCCCTCCCCACCCTGACCGTCCCCCGGACCCTTCCCTCCCCACCCTGACCGTCCCCAGGACTCTTCTCTCCCCACCCTGACCATCCTCCACTTGGAGGGAGATGGGAGAAGTAATGGAGGCCGCGTTGCGAGCGATGAATGAACTGTAGAATCTTTCGATGTAACGATGAAGAAGATGAAGAGATCCCATCTCCCGGCTCAGACAAATAATTGGTTGCAGAGGGACTCCGCATCAAGGCGAGGCCCCGGTCCAGAGCAAGGGGGGGGAGGGGGGGGGTGTTGACTGACTCATCCGCAGCCTGATAGCCGCCGTTCTCAGCTTCCCACCTCTGGCGTGCGCTCTGAGCGCGCCCAGCAATGCGTGATGCGGCTGGCTCGCCATTCACGATGAGCGGCCCACCTGGGGGGCTGAGATATCACATTCTCCGAGTGTGAGAGAGAGCCGAGGGGCCCCAGGAAATCAGGACTAACTGTAGGGATGACAGGATTCATGGTGGGGACACACCTGAGACAGTCTATCAGTGAACTGTGGGGCCCCGCTGATACAAGATGCTGAACACCACGTGGGGCCCATTCATCCAGATTTAAAGGGGAACTCCAGACCCAAACACTTTGACATCACTAGATTCCCTCTTAGCTGCTAAGGGCATAAATCCGCCTCGTGTGAACCAAATGCCTTTGGAAAGCCAGATATTATCCTGTAAAAGTAGAAGTGACATCATCACTACAGGAAACTGCAGGAGGGGACTTAGGCAAGACCTGTCACCCTGTACGAGGAGAGCTGAGCTGTGGGAGGGCTCAGCAGGCTCCACCCACTTCAGAAAACTACAGGAGGGGGCGTAGCCAAGACCAGTCACCCTGCACAAGGAGAGCTGAGATGTGGGAGTGGCCTAACAGGCTCCACCCACTACAGAAATCTACAGGAGGGGGTGTAGGCAAGACCTGTCACCCTGTACGAGGAGAGCTTAGCTGTGGGGAGCGGCCTTGCAGGCTCCACCCACTACAGAAATCTACAGGAGGGGGTGTAGGCAAGACCTGTCACCCTGTACGAGGAGAGCTTAGCTGTGGGAGTGGCCTAAAAGGCTCCACCCACTACAGAAATCTACAGGAGGGGGGCGGGGGCGTAGGCAAGACCTGTCACCCCCTGTACGAGGAGACCTGTCACCCTTAGCTGTGGGGAGCGGCCTAACAGGCTCCACCCACTACAGAAAACTACAGGAGGGTTGCATAGGCAAGACCTGTCACCTTGTACAAGGAGAGCTGAGCTGTGGGAGTGGCCTAGCAGGTCCCTCCCACTACAGTCTGCAGTTTTGCATCCTTGCCCTGGGCGCTGGATGGACCTGTCCCGCTACTGCTCATCACTGCTCTGCTTCTCCTTTCACTGTCCAGTTCACAAGCTGGGGGCGGGTCATGGATGACCTGGGATCAGAGGAAGTGGGTTTAATGATGCCGGCTTTCAGAGTTATTCATTTGATCCTGTTATTTCTGGCTGGAGTTCTGCTTTAAAAATCCAACGCTTCCTATTTAATAGTTTTTGGATTAGGAATTATTTCCCAATGGGGAGATTTTCCTTCACTTCCTGTCCTGAAGACACAACAGAAAGTGAGGAGATCCAATGCCCCACCTCCCACCCCACCTTAGTCAGCTGTCACCAGAACAGGTGTTTCTATTGGACGAAGGATATTCCTGGTTTAGTGACAACTGTCAAATTCTGGATTTCCCATCAGTCTCTTTCCTGGTCACAAGGGGTCACCCGGACAAAGAGGTTGAATTTCCCCAGTGGGGACACGGACGATCGATGGCCTGGCTCCAGCCTGTCCACACTCCATGTAAGAAAAAAGTTAGACTTTCGATTCAATGTAAAGGAAAAGCAGAATACATGTGTGTGCCGTGATCACGTGTCTGACTTATAATTGGATCTTTATTGTATTGTATGTATATACTTACATGTAGATTTACATTCTTCCATATTATTCTTCCTGTGTTAAATGTAGAGATTTGCAGACTGACCATTAGAGGGAGCTCTGCCCATGACTCCGACATCTTCCCTGACTCCCGCATCTTCCCTGACTCCGACATCTTCCCTGACTCCCGCATCTTCCCTGACTCCGACATCTTCCCTGACTCCCGCATCTTCCCTGACTCCGACATCTTCCCTGACTCCCGCATCTTCCCTGACTCCCGCATCTTCCCTGACTCCAACATCTTCCCTGACTCCCTCATCTTCCCTGACTCCAACATCTTCCCTGACTCCCGCAGCTTCCCTGACTCCAACATCTTCCCTGACTCCCGCAGCTTCCCTGACTCCCGCATCTTCCCTGACTCCGACATCTTCCCTGACTCCCGCATCTTCCCTGACTCCCGCATCTTCCCTGACTCCCCGCATCTTCCCTGACTCCCGCAGCTTCCCTGACTCCAACATCTTCCCTGACTCCCGCAGCTTCCCTGACTCCAACATCTTCCCTGACTCCCACAGCTTCCCTGACTTCGACATCTTCCCTGACTCCCGCATCTTTCCTGACTCCCGCATCTTCCCTGACTCCCGCATCTTCCCCTGACTCCCGCAGCTTCCCTGACTCCCGCAGCTTCCCTGACTCCCGCAGCTTCCCTGACTTCGATATCTTCCCTAACTCCCGCATCTTCCCTGAGTCCCGCATCTTCCCTGACCCCCGCATCTTCCCTGACCCCCGCAGCTTCCCTGACCCCCGTAGCTTCCCTGACTCCCGCATCTTCCCTGACCCCCGCATCTTCCCTGACCCCCGCAGCTTCCTGACCCCCGTAGCTTCCCTGACTCCCGCATCTTCCCTGCCTAACACTGAAGTTTTAAACTGCCTCTATTTTACCTTTCCTGGTTCCTCCTCCTCCTCCCCCACCCATCAACATGCACATGACTTTTTTTTTTTTAAATAAAACTTTTCTGGGGTTTTTTGTATTTCATACCCTTCTTTAGACTCAGTATTGACATCACTGGGTCTCTGTACTTCTCTATACAATGCAGGCAGATCATGGCTGGTGGGAGGGCGCTGGACATAGCTTCCTGAAAACATCACAGCACCCTGCCTCAGTACTCCTCTCATGAGCCCTCAGTCCCGATGGGAGCCTTGGAAGGAGTTATGCAAATACCAAAATTCCTTGAGGGGTGGGTGTTTCTAGGCTGTATTTGCAGGGTTACACCTGTGCCAGACTGAAGGGGAGGAGCTGGTACACCTGTGCAAGACTGAAGGGGAGGAGCCAGTACACCTGTGCAAGACTGAATGGGAGGAGACCTGGAGCCTAGAGGGGAGGACACACTGTGCAAGACGGAAGGGGAGGAGTCAGTACATCTGTGCAAGACTGAAGGGGAGGAGCTGGTACACCTGTGCAAGACTGAATGGAAGGAGCCGGACCCTGCCAGTACTGAAGGGGAGGAGCCGGTACACCTGTACACCTGTGCAAGACTGAAGGGGAGGAGCCGGTAACCTGTGCATGACTGAAGGGGAGGAGCCGGTACACCTGTGCAAGACTGAAGGGGAGGAGCCGGTACACCTGTGCAAGACTGAAGGGGAGGAGCCGGTACACCTGTGCATGACTGAAGGGGAGGAGCAGGTACACCTGTGCAAGACTGAAGGGGAGGAGCCGTTACACCTGTGCAAGACTGAAGGGGAGGAGCCCACCCTGTGCAAGACTGAAGGGGAGGAGCCGGTACTCCTATGCATGTGCAAGACTGAAGGGGAGGGGAGGAGGAGCCGTTACACCTGTGCAAGACTGAACCTGTGGGAAGGAGCCGATACACCTGTGCAAGACTGAAGGGGAGGAGCCGGTACACCTGTGCAAGACTGAAGGGAGGAGCCGGTACACCTGTGCAAGACTGAAGGGGAGGAGCCGGTACACCTGTGCAAGACTGAAGGGGAGGAGCCGGTACACCTGTGCAAGACTGAAGGGGAGGAGCCGTTACACCTGTGCAAGACTAGCCGTTACACCTGTGCAAGACTGAAGGGGAGGAGCCGGTACACCTGTGCAAGACTGAAGGGGAGGAGCCGGTACTCCTATGCCTGAAGGGGAGGGTACACCTGTGCAAGACTGAAGGGGAGGAGCCTGTACACCTGTGCAAGACTGAAGGGGAGGAGCCGGTACACCTGTGCAAGACTGAAGGGGAGGAGCCGATACACCTGTGCAAGACTGAAGGGGAGGAGCCGGTACACCTGTGCAAGACTGAAGGGGAGGAGCCGGTACACCTGTGCAAGACTGAAGGGGAGGAGCCGGTACACCTGTGCATGACTGAAGGGGAGGAGCCGGTACACCTGTGCAAGACTGAAGGGGAGGAGCAGGTACACCTGTGCAAGACTGAAGGGGAGGAGCCGGTACACCTGTGCAAGACTGAAGGGGAGGAGCCGGTACACCTGTGCAAGACTGAAGGGGAGGAGCCGGTACTCCTGTGCATGACTGAAGGGGAGGAGCGGTACACCTGTGCAAGACTGAAGGGGAGGAGCTGGTACTCCTATGCAAGACTGAAGGGGAGGAGCAGGTACACCTGTGCAAGACTGAAGGGGAGGAGCCGTTACACCTGTGCAAGACTGAAGGGGAGGAGCTGATACACCTGTGCAAGACTGAAGGGGAGGAGCCAGTACACCTGTGCAAGACTGAAGGGGAGGCTGGAGGTCAGAATGAAGTCTACATTAGCACGTGTAGAGATCAGATGTCATCCACATAGGGGGTGTATGGTTTTTAATCAATCATCCGACTCATGGACTCGCATTATGAGAAGGAGCAGTAAAGCGCAGCCATTGTGCAGCACCACAGAGTAGGAAGCAGAACCCACATATGTAATGAGCAAACATGGCTGCCCCCCCATAGGCATATGAAACCCCAGACTATACACAGGAACGACATCCAATGACGCCTCCTGCCCCATGGACGGGCATGTAAACCATCATTACCCAGAGTGCACTTCCCCTTTAAGTGGCAGGTAACCTATTTCCATTGCTAATTCCTCCTGCCGCGGAGACGCCTGTGCGATTTTGCTCTTCATTAGAAAATAATATATTAGGCGCCTCTCCCGCTATCCGCGGCAATTATCCCTGCTCTGCTCCTGCGCTCGGAGATGCGGCTCCCGATATTCCCAGCGGGCACTTCACAACTTCCAAAGAAAAGTCTTTGTCAGAAAAAAAAAAAAGCGAAAAGATCAAAAAAAGAAAAAAAAAGGTAAAAATCCCATCCAGATGTATTATTCATCACCGATAACAAGGGCTCCATCGGGCCCCTGCCTACGCCTGCACCATATGGATCAGCATATTGCTTGATCTACTTTCCAGCATCCTCCGTACGTCGCGCCGCTCTCCGCATTCACCGCGCAACGTGTCCGAACGCCTTCTCCCCGCCAACTCCATTGAAAATCAATCTTTTTTTTTTTGCCCTTTTTTATGGTATGTGTAATATTTGAATGACCCCCTTTATTTGCATTATGGAATTTTTTTTTTTGATTGGCTGCATCCTTCTGACCCCACCCCAGGGGCGGACTGACCATTTGGAAACTCGGGCACTGCCCGAGGGCACGGGGTCAGTAGGGGGCACCATGAGATGCCCCTGGTACCTTTTTCATAGGTTTTTTTGAGTTTGGGCAAGGACACAGGGGCCCCATGATCCCCTATTGCCCGGGGGGGCCCCATGAGTTGTCAGTCCGCCCCTGCCCCACCCATGTTTTTTAACCCCTCACCTTCCAGAGGATCCCTCCCCTTCCTGACCAGGACATTTTTTTGCGATCCGGCGCTGCGTTACTTTAACTGACAATTGCGCGGTCATGCGTCGCTGCACCCAAATGAAATTTACATCCTTTTTTTCCAACGAATAGAGCTTTCTTTTGGTGCTATTTGATCATTTGTGAGTTTTTTATTTTTTCTATAAACAAAAAAAGACTGACAATTTTGAGAAAAAAACTATATTTTTGACTGTTGGCTATAAAACAGTTAAAAAATGTATAAAATCAAATTTCGTCATAAATTTCAGCCAAAATGGATTCTGCTCCGTGTCTTTGCTAAAAAAAAAAAAATCCCAATCCGTGTTAATGAATTGTTTTAGGTGAAAGTTATAACATTTACAAATGGCGGTATAGATTCCGGGATTTAATTTTTTTTCTTTATATTAGTATTGGCGGCGATCAGCGACTTATAGTGGGACTGCGAGGGGCATTCTGACACTGGGGGGAGGGACTGACTAACTGCCACTGACATCCCCAGTGACACCAATACAGTGATTAGTGCTAATAAAAAGCACTGACAGTGTACTAATGGCACTGGGCAGGAAGTGGTTAACATCTGGGGAATCAAAGGGTTAACTGTGTGCTGAGAGTGTTTTATTAGGGAGACATGCTGTGCAGAGAGATACAAAGCAGCATGTCCTTGCTGACAGGGGAGAGACCTGTGTTGCTTACATAGAAATCTCTCCCCTCTCAGTCCCGGATGGGAATCGCTGGCCGGGACCCAGTGATTGACATCCTGACCAGCCAATATCAGGGCGTGTGTGCCTCCCGCCCACACATGCAAATCACACACGCACACATATATATATATGCAGGGGCGGACTGACCATTTGGAAACTCGGGCACTGCCCGAGGGCCCAGGGTCAGTAGGGGGCCCCATGAGATGCCCCTGGTACTTTTCATAGGCTTTTTTGAGTTTGGGCAAGGACACAGGGGCCCCATGATCCCCTATTGCCCGGGGGCCCCATGAGTTGTCAGTCCGCCCCTGCGGTTCACCATGGGTGGTCTATACACTATGGGGTGTATTTATGGAGCGGTAAATCTGACACCCACCAAACATTCACTGCAGGTGAATCCTTGTCCAGACTAAGACCTGGGGGTCAAATCTGGTCTGCTGCAAGATTTTACCCAGTCCTGATGTAAGTGGGAGCACCGATGGGGACTCTGATGTAGGGGAATCTGATGGGGACACTGATGTAAGGGGGGCTCCGAGGGACTCTGATGTAGAGTACTCTGTTGGGGACTCTGATGTAAGGGGGGTTCCGATGTGGACTCTGATGTAAGGGGGATCTGATGTGGACTTTGTCCTAGGGGGACTCTGATGTAAGGGGGGAATTCTGATGGAGACTCTGATATAAGTGGACTATGATGCAGGCTCTTAAGTAGAGGACACTGATGGGGACTGATGTAAGGAGGCACTCTGATGTAAGGGGGTTCTGATGTAAGGGGGTTCTGATGTGGACTTTGTCCTAGGGGGAATTCTGATGGGGACTCTGATGTAAGCGGACTATGATGCAGGCTCTGAAGTAGAGGACACTGATGGGGACTAATGTAAGGAGGCACTCTGATGTAGAGTACTCTATTGGGGACTCTGATGTAAGGGAGGCCCTGTTGGGCACTCTGATATAAGGGGGGTTTTTTGATGTGGACTTTGTCCTAGGGGGACTCTGATGTAAGCGGACTATGATGCAGGCTCTGAAGTAGAGGACACTGATAGGGACTGATGTAAGGAGGCACTCTGATGTAGAGTACTCTGCTGGGGACTCTGCTGTAAGGGAGGCTCCGATGGACTCTGTTTTAGAGTACTCTGTTGGGGACTCTGATGTAAGGAGGGTTCTGATGTGGACTCTGATGTAAGGGGGCTCTGTTGGGCACTCTGATGTAAAGGGGTTCTGATGTGGACTTTATCCTAGGGGGACTCTGATGTAAGCGGACTATGATGCAGACTCTGAAATAGAGGACACTGATGGGGACTGATGTAAGGGGACTCTGATAGAGGCTTTGCTGTAAGGGAGGGGACTCTAGTGTAATAGGAACTCCAATGTAAGGGGGCTTTGATGGGGGGTCTGATGTAAGAGGGACTCTGATTGGGACATTGATGTAAGGGGGACTCTGATGTAATAGGAACCCTATGTAAGGAGGCTCTGATGTAATGGGGGGACTCCGATGGGTCCCCCCTCCCATCTCTCTACTTGGCTGTGTTCACAAACGTCTGACACAGATCAGCCCCTGCTGCCGCCTCTCACCTTTCACAATGGAAATGAAAGCTTTGTGTTCTCCATCCTTCGCAGCGCAGGCTCCTGATTGGTGGAAGATACAATCTCATTGGCTTCAAACATGATGGTATGGCGTCAGGGGCGGACTGACAACTCATGGGGCCCCCGGGCAATAGGGGATCATGGGGCCCCTGTGTCCTTGCCCAAACTCAAAAAAGCCTATGAAAAAGGTACCAGGGGCATCTCATGGGGCCCCCTACTGACCCTGGGCCCTCGGGCAGTGCCTGAGTTTCCAAATGGTCAGTCTGCCCCTGGATGAGGTGCGTTCCCGGCTCTCTGGGGTTTGCAGAGTCTCTGGAGGAGCAGAATTTCACATGCTGACTACAAGGCCACTTCCCATGACAACGCTGACCTTCCCTGCCGGGTCGGGGGGTCAGGTGGATGCCATTGCTCTGCAGGATCTCATAGTAACTTCACGAGTCTGTATGAGGACATTCCTGACATATCGCAGTACGCAGCCACACCGACACGTCCCTCTGCCCTCTATTCTTCCTGCAGCCCCAGTCAGTGACTGTGCCTAGGCTGAGATGATTTCATCAGTCTGCTGCAGGCAGGAGGAAGCATTTCCTCAGTCTCCCCTCCCCCGGGGGCTGATCTGTGTCAGGTGGACCATGAGTCTGCCTTATCCCTATCAAGAGCCTTGTACCTGGGGGAGGGGGGGTCCGGTCCTTCCTCTTCGGTTGGGGACCAATGCACACCCTGAGTGAACTTTTTTTGTGTGTTCACATGAACTTTTTGTTTTTTTTTGCACACCGCAGGCTTGGAAGAAAAAATGAGGGTGTAGTAGGGGTGTAAAAGCAGTGTATTTGTGGTGTAATATCTGTGTAGAAGGGGTGTAGTAGCAGTGTAATATCTGTGTAGTAGTGGTGTAGTAGCTGTGTAATAGGGGTGTAGTAGCTGTGTAATATCTGTGTAGTAGTGGTGTAGTAGCTGTGTAATAGGGGTGTAGTAGCTGTGTAATAGGGGTGTAATAGTGGTGTAATAGCTGTGTAGTAGTGATGTAGTAGCAGTGTAATAGCTGTGTAGTAGGGGTGTAGTAGTGATGTGTAGTAGCAGTGTAATAGCTGTGTAGTAGTGGTGTAGTAGTAGTGGTGTAATATCTGTGTAGTAGCTGTGTAGTAGGGGTGTAATATCTGTGTAGTAGAGGTGTAATATCTGTGTAGTGGCTGTGTAGTAGGGGTGTAATATCTGTGTAGTAGCGGTGTAATATCTGTGTAGTAGCTGTGTAGTAGTGGTGTAGTAGCTGTGCAGTAGCGGTGTAATAGCTGTGTACTAGGGGTGTAGTAGGGGTGTAATATCTGTGTAGTAGCTGTGTAGTAGTGGTGTAGTAGCTGTGCAGTAGCGGTGTAATAGCTGTGTAGTAGTGGTGTAGTAGCTGTGC